TAATCTATTCTTAATTCCAGATTTATTTGGTAACTATTTCTCTTCTCTTAATCTTAGTTGTTTATTTTATTCCTTTGATCATGTCTTGTTTTATTGCTTTGATTAGTTTAGTTTTTATTATATGTGAATAATTCTATTTCTAGGGTTTATGGGGATTCATAAATAATATGAAGGGGTAATTTATTGTTGTTTATTGTCAATGCTAGATTAATTTCCTATTGATTGATTTAATGCTCTGTGACTAGATTTGCGCAGATCTTTTATGCATGAGTTTAACAATATTGATTCGAGATTCGACAGATGAGAATTAATGTTTAGGTCTAGTTTCAATAGGCAGGTTAATTTATAAATGGTTAAGTCGAGATTCGAAAGATGAGATTTAATACCGGTAAATTAATTGTGTGATTGTAATACGTAGCGAAAGCCCTTTATAATTTGATTAATGTATGCATTGATGAATGATTATTATATTCTACTCTGGAATATTATTTATTGGTGAACCTATGCCCTAGATCTTTTTATATATTATTTTCTCCTCACTCTTAATCTTCGTAGTTTAGTTTCATATTCAAATTCACATATTGGTTACTTTATAATTTAGATTACTTTAATTGATTAGGAATAGAAAGACTCGTTTCTCTGTGGATTCGACCCTACTTCCCTATCTACATTAGTTAGAGGATTTAGGAATTATTTTTTATTAGGGGATACGACTTTACCCTGTCAACCACCGACAAATCTCATTCCCATCACCACCTTACACAATATATAAAAATTAAACCGCAACAAATAAAACTTAAACAAAATAAACCCAAAATATAATAAGCACATATAGATGAAAATATAAAGTAAAAAATACATAAAAATAACAAAACATTAAACAAGATATACAAATATACATCAACCAATCAAAAACCCATAATATATAAATCGAACAAAAAAACAGTTTTTATCCAAACAGTACAAAATTCGAACAAACAAGCCATAATAAATCCAAAGAAAATAAACGAAACATAACAAATTGAAATGAAAATCAACACGAAAATAGACGAAAAATAAAAAAAATCAAAGGAAAATAAACGAATAACAAAATAAAGGCAGTACAAGCACAAAATAATGAAATTAGACCAAAAAATATCATAATATAAACAAAAACCACAATAAAAAAAAAACGAAAAATACAAAAAAAATTAAATATACCTTCGAAAATTTCCTCCTTTCTGGGTGTTGATTGTCAAATTCGATGATAAAAACTCCAAATCTGGCATTTTTATGGTCAAATTTGACAAATAAAACCTCAATGTCACAAAATTGAACCTCAATTCGCGACACAAGAAAGAGCTGAAAGGAGGACAAGAACGAGAGGAAAGAAAGAGGATGAGAAACAAAGAGTAGATCGAGAAATAGAGAAAGAGAAGAGGGGAAATGATCCAATAAAGAGAGAGGAGATAGAACCTGTAAGAGGAGAGGAACCGAGAGAAGGCGAAGAAGAGGAGAGCGAACCAGAGAAAAGGAGAGGGGAGGAGAGGAGAGAGAAAATGTGAAAGGCAATAAAGAGGAGAAACAACGGAAGAAGATTTAGGGTTTGGTGTGGGCTTGTTGAATTGGTATTAGATTTAGGGTTTGGTGTGGGCTTGTTGAATTGGTATTTAAATGCCATTATTTTTAAAAATAATCATCTCTATGATAGTCATAAGTTGTCGCAAATTGCGATAGTTTTGAAAACCGTCGTAAGTTGCGACAGTTTAGAGCTGTCGTAAATATTAATTTTTAATAATTATATTTAGTGTCTATTGCGACAGTTTATTGGCTAAAAACTGTAGTAACTCAACACCATCGTGTTATTACGATAGTTACAAAAACTATAGTAGAATTAAAATATTACGACAGTTTTTCTAGTTGTCGTAAAAAATTGTCGTTATTTGCCCGGATTCTAGTAGTGTAATGTAACCAAAATGTCTTGTTGTTATTATATAATGGACTATTGATTTACATTCTCTACAAACTTCTATATTTTAATTATTATTCAATTTTAAAATTTCGAGCATGACTCGGGAATAATCGAGGTTTTTTTTTTAAAAAAAAAAAGTGAGAGTTCACGATAGTGATTTAAAGAGTAGGTCGGGGCGCCACACTGTGTGCGAAAATATAAATATCACGCAGTACCAAACAATTACCAAAATCGCATATTTTGGTACAAAAAAAAAATTTAGGGTACCAAAACCACATACTTCATATTTGGGTAAAAAAATATTTGTTCTCTTTACAATACGAAAAATGCACTTAAAACTTGTTCACTTCACTTTATTTTTACTGAAATGAAATTATTTTTACTGAGTTGAAGTTATTTTTGCTGAAGTTAAATTATTTTTACTAAACTAAAATTATTTTTACTAAACTAATTTTTTTTTAACAGATTTTCTATTATATATTCTTTTTAAAAGTTACTGATTTTTACTGACCTAAAATTATTTTATAAAACTAAAATTAATTTTACTGAACTAAAATTATTTTTACAAAATATTATTATTTTAAGATGGAGTGAACGGGACCTTATTTAGTACTATATGAACAGGTAAAAACACACACACACACTCATTGCTTGTGTGTGCAATATAAGAAACTTGGTTTTAAAAAATATATATACATAGTATATAAGAAACTAATTAAGCTATATTCTCCTTTTTATTCTTATAAAAAAAATAGTTTTGATCTGATAAGGTAGTTAATTTTATATTTTATTTTTTAATTTTTAATTTACTTGTGAGGTAATTTTTAAAATTGAAATGGGTAATTTGGGGATAGTGAAATTTATATTACAAATTTCATTTTTAAGAAAGTGCGACCTCTATCCCCGGATAGTTTTAAGTTGTACACTAATAAATATAAATTTTAGGTTTCGTAGGGATTCAATTTTGTGCTCACACCTATCAATTTATCCTTAAAAAAATGAAATAATTTTAAGTTTTACACTAATAAATATACTCCTACATTAAATATGTACTCCCTCCATTTTTAAATACTTGTTCCACTTTCCTTTTCCTGCCGTTTTTAAATACTTGCTCCATTTCCTTATTTAGAAAACTTTTATAATATTTAATTACTTTCTCTCACCTAATGGACCCACCATTAATCATATTTTATTAATATCATGCTCTATCTCCTCTAATTATCCCCACTACTTTTGTTTTTTAGCATTTTTTATTCTTCCACTTACTCCACTACCTCCCTATTTTATTATTTTCTCCAATTTCTCCTAAAACTCCGCGCATGGAGAATTAGAGCTATTATTTAAAAACGGAGGGAGTACTAGGCAAAGTTGAACTTATTATATCATAATTTTGATAAAAATCTAAAATTATAAAAATACAGATATTTTGTACAAGGTGCATATTCTTATTTATATTTATCCAATTTTTTTTTAAAAAAATGTACAAATTATAAAAATAAATTTTATATAAATTGTGCATCGCACGGAATCTAACCCAATATATTACTATAGATCTAACACAGTGACTCAGTGAGGCTCTAAGATTTCCCTATAAGCTATGCTCAACAGATTGTAGTAAAATTAGAGGATCGAACAATTAGTAACTTGCTTTTTGACATTAATTTTTAAGCTACAACACTTTTTAGCAATAAAGTGTTCCAATAGTAAGCTACAACATTTTTTAGTTTGTAAAAATTAAATATTAAACAATAAATAAATAATTGTACACATGTTACAATATGAGTGGAGTTTAGTTATCTCTTTTTCATTCAAGCATGTAGCTTGGTTAGGCTACAATTGCTAGCATGTTGCTCAATTTTTTATTCTCCAATGGTAATCATGTAGCTAGGAATTTTATTTATATTGCAAGCAAGTCCTTACAATCAAACCATTGGAGATGCTCTTAGAGTGAGGCCAATGGATGACCAAGTCTTTGGTCAGAGGAGAGATAGTAGAGTTTTTATATTAAAAAAAATGAAACAAAGAAAAAATTGATGGAAAAAAGTGATGACCAAGTCTTAAAGATGACCAAACTAGAAATATGGTCATGAAAATGTAAATGACAAGTGGCGGGTTATAATTGGAGGAAGAAAAAGGAAAAGTTGCATGTACTTGCAACATATGACACCAACGGAAATATTGTTGGATGACACCACGCATGCATACAACGGCTAGATTATTATCATTGCAAATTTTTGCAACGGTAATAAATTAAAAAATACAAATAAAAAAAAATTACCAACGTCTTTATTTTTTTTTCTCTATAAAAAGAGACCAATATTGAGGTATTTTTGAACAACTTCTCATTAAGCTCAATTCCTTCATTTAGCTCAATTTCTTCATTTAGCTCATTTTCTTCATTTAGCTCAATTCATTCCTTTTAAAGTAATTTTTTTTTATCTACAAAATCCAAAAAACTATTGAATATGGATAAATCCAATCGGAAAAAAAATCCTTCAAAATCGAAAAAAAATTCAAATACTCAACCTTCATTTTCTGATTATCAAATAGATCTCAACTCTCAAGTGGAACCAAACTCACAAATTTTTCCACAGTTTCCAAATTATGGAATGAATAACATCAATTTCACAAATCCAAGTTCTATATCACAATTCCCTTTACGACCACAACAAGTTCTTAACTTCTCATAGTCTCAAAATGTTCTTCCATCTGAAGGACACTCACCTTTTCAAAATTGTCAATTTGCTGAAAATGAAACATCCTTCCCTATGTCGCAACATTTTAACATGTCATAAGGTGAAGGTGCAAATTCAAATTTTAATTGGTCATATTTGATCAACTGCTGACTCTGATGACGATAATGATGACGAAGCTGAAGAAAATGAAGGTGGGGATGTAGGAGGCGGAGGTAGAGGCAATACGGATTGAAGGAATTTTTGGTCGCACGCTGAAGATGAGGTCCTTGTGAGAGCTTGGCTTGAGGTAAGTAAAGATAAAAAAAACAAATACCAACCAAAAGGGGAATGAATTCAGGGCAAAAGTTGAGGCAATGTTTAATAATGTTAGATTATTTAGAGAGAGGCAATTTGAACAAGGTACTGAAGAGATTAAGAAGGATGATTTGCTAAGAGTAAGGGCTTTGGAGCCACTTAGATGTCGGTGGAAAAGGTTAAGTGCTAATTGTTCAAAATTTTCTGGTGCGTATGCACATGCTGCATCAAGGAGAGGAAGTGGTCACTCTAACGACGATGTTATTAAGGTTGCGCATAGAATTTATAGAGATGACAAAACTAGGAAAAATACCAGTAGAGTTTTCCAAGATATGCATGCTTGGGATATTCTGAAAAATGAACAAATATGGGCGAAAAATGAAGATCCAGTCGAGACATGTAAGCAGAAGACAGCAACCCAGTCCAGTGTTTCAAAGAGATCTCGAATTAATGAAGCTGGTAATTACTCGTCTTCAACAAACCCAGATACACCGACCAGTGGTGATGCTGGGTGTTCAGGCTTCCCCTCTATTGATGATTGTACCAAAAATAAAGGTAAGAACAAAGTTATGAACATGGCGACGGAAAATTCTCAGCAATGGTTGCTTACTATTCAAAACATGAACATAACAAGGCAATCTGAAACTGAGATGGAGATGATGAAGTTGAGGTTCGAGAGAGAGAAAGAAGCTGAAAATGCTCAGCTAGAAAGGGAGAGAGAAGCACGAAAGCAAAGGAAAATCAACTTGGAATTGTTCAAGATACTTGAAGCAAAGCCATACTTATCAGAAGAGGATCAAGAACGAAGGAACAATTTAGTGAAGATATTATTCCCATCCAATTAATTTATTTGTTCAAAATGTAGTAGTGTTATATTCTAGAATGATTAGTTTGTTGTTTAGTAACCGCTTTTGTACTTGAAGTTGTAATCATGTTGTTTAAGTTGTTATTTATTATCAATTAATGTGTAGTCATTATGTTGTTTTTAAATAGCTCTAATATAGTTGTACTATTATGTGATGTATGACTGTCATATTTAAATAGTTTACTATTCTTAAAAAGTTGTGCATTAACGGCATTACTGACATTGATGAGATGTAACAATAACATAAATTGTGCATTGCTCACATGAACTTACGTATTTGTATTTTTCTGATAAATGATGGTGTATAATTTGATGTGATTGTTCACTGGAAAAACCAAAGACTTACTATTCCGAAAAAGTGAAGCAATTATTGATTTTGATAAGTCATAAAAAATGACCACACAACCTATTGATATGAAATCACATTGAAGCTTCTTTTCAGTACATTATTTTTTATGGTGAATGATAGCATTACAACAACACACTATTATTAAAGTTCGTACATTGTTCTATATATTGCTATATGTTTTAATTTGGTTTCACTCAACCAATAATCTATTAGCTCTCTCATCAAAGTAGCTTCCTTAGCTTTGAAAATGTCTGAGAGTTCTAATTTGTCCAACTCATCTTCTAACTCTTCCAATTCATCTACAAACACAAATCAAAATTCCGATGATGACTACAACCAACGTTATGAGAGACGGAGGCAAGCAACTCGTCTTGTTGATCGAATGATGGATGAATTCATAATGACCAATCTAGTTGAATTCTTTCAAATGGTTAATCAAGTTCCAAGGGCACCAAGGACGTTGTTCGAAAGGGATCATGAAGACGGACACAACCGTTTATGGAATGACTATTTTACTGATCCTCCAGTGTTCCCTCCAAACTTGTTTCGTCGGAGATTTCGCATGAGAAAGCACGTCTTTCTCCGTATTGTGCATACTTTAGATGAAGGTCATCAGTTCTTTCAACAACGGCAAGATGCTACTGGTAGATTTGGAGCATCAGCATTGCAGAAATGCACCGCGGCTTTAAGATTACTTGCATATGGAACTGCTGCTGATTCCGTTGACGACTACTTATGGATTTGTGCATCTCTTGCGCGAGACTCCTTACAACATTTTGTTGAAGGAGTTGTCTCTTATTTTAGTGACGACTATCTGAGAAGACCTAATGAAGAGGATATGGCCAGACTCCTACGAGATGGAGAACGTCGAGGCTTTCCAGGGATGATGGGATCCATTGATTATATGCATTGGCGATGGAAGGATTGTCCTTTAAGATTGAAGGGCATGTTTTCTGGGAGAGCTAATAAGCCCACTTGGATTTTAGAAGCTGTGGCATCACAAGACCTTTAGATCTGGCATGCTTTTTGATAAATGCATAATATACTATAATTTTAGTCCCTAATATTAGTCCAATGGCCACTTTATATTGGTTATTTTATGATTTTATTTACTTTTATTATTTTAGATTTTATTTTATTCATTATTTTATTTTATAGTTATTTTTATAATAATTGATACTTAATTTTATGTTGTGTGTTTTTGGTAGGAAGAAAAATATTCGCAAGCACTACGAGCCCAATAGCAAAGCAGACTAGCAAATATAAAAAAAAGGGGAAGAAGAAAAAGGCACGTGACTTAGCAACATTAAACAATAAGAAAGAAAAGATAAGAAAGCAGCAACAAATAAAGTAAAGAAAGGAGCGTGAAAACCAAAGATACCCCAAAATCTTATTAAGGTTCATCTTCAACAATATCATCCGAAATTCAAGCAAATAGAAGATGAATTTCCATCTTAAATTTTATCTTTCCAACCTAGAAAATCATGGGAGGCCGTTGTTTTTGGCTATAAAAACCCCAAAACAATCATCTCAGAGGACACACAACTTAGCCAATAATTATACAAAGAGTACGAGAGTTCGAGTGAGTCCGTAATTGGGCAATTGGTGAAGAGAAGATAGCCATTGGAGGGCAGCTTAGTCTCGAATCCAAGGTAGAACAAGAACGAAGGTGAATCGCGGGGTCGAAGCCGGGTTTATTCGGGTGTTCTTCAGAGTATATTTTATAAGTCTTCTTCTGAACTTATTTGTTCAATACTACTGATTTATTTGATGTTCTTTGCTAAATTGATGAAGTACTTTTATTGGATTATTGATATTATAATTGATTCTTGATAGTATTATTTTTTCGATTTAATGGGTATTTGAAATTTGCTCGTTCTTGATTATTAAATTTGCAATTTGACATTGATTGTTATCTATCATGTTATTAGTTGTGAATTATTGCTATCTATATGATTTGGCTTAGTTTGAATTATATAGTGAAGTAGTATCTAATTTTTATCAAGTCTGCGATTATGGTTTGGTTTAAATCAGAGGGCATTTTCAATCTAATTATTCTAAGCATTTATGTGATTAGTTTAATTAGGACTAATGAGGTCTCCTAGTTGTTAATGCTTCCGTATCTAACTCATGCAAGTTGCGAAATATTTGTGTTACTTATATCCGTTTAGAGTCAATTTCGGCTTAGTCCAAATTTGGTTTCAAGTAAGGGAGATAGGGAGTCTTTGTTACTATAGTCTCTACGATTAGTCTAATCGTTAAATTGAGTATTTTGCAGAGTCGGTCAATTGTTGTTATCAATAGTTTAGTATGAGTAGTGCCGAAGTGGAATTGGTTAGTTGTGTCGTCAATAGTAGTTTATTAGTTTAGTTCCGTATTAGTTTTTTTAGTTTAGTATTATCTAAAACAAACCCCCCCCATTCTATGTACATATGTGAATAAATGTATAGTATGTAAGTTTCCGTAATATATCTAGTTAAACCTTGATTAAAGAGTTAAAAGTCTCCTCGTGGATCGACCGTTGCTTACCCTTTTACTAGTTGTTAATATTTTTGAAGGTTAAGTTAGGAAAATAAATATTTAATTTTATACGGTAAACGACACGTACCAAATTTTGGCGCCGTTGTCGGGGAGATAAATTTTAACTCTTAAAATCAAGATTTAATCTGTATTTCTAATTATATATCTGTGTGATAAGTTGTTACTCATATACGGAGAATGAATTAGCTAATTATAGCCTTCATGCTTACTGTTAGAGGTGTTAGTTACTCTGTTCCACTCATATAAAATCTTTTATACATGATCAATTTTTAGAAGTAATGTCTGCTTTTCATATACTTTCGTTTAACATCATGTTCATGCCTTCAAGTGTGTCAATTTTCTTCATTAGTTGTTAATTTCTTTTAAAGCCAAAATAAACATACATTAGGTGAGGTTGGGTACACTTTCGTTTAATTCTTAATTTAGCCCAACCTATTTGGAAACGGTATGTAGAGGAGTAGTAATTAGTGCATTGCTTGTTTCTTGGCCAAATTTTTGCAAGTAATGATTATTGATTAACTCTCTTAATATTTTGGTGCATGGGTGCAGGATAAGTATATTTCAAGTTGCATAATACTTTTATTTTTGCACACATATGTTTGTTCTCCTTATGATAATTGAACTATGGTATTAATCTGATCACAACTAATGATAATAAGTAACACACTCGTATTATGGTAGTGGGAATTAAAACAGTTACTAGGAGTTGTCATTAGATATTATCTTACATTGAGTTTCTGTTCAGGAATTAAGTAACTAATAAGCCACTATTGTCCTACACTTTGCTCTTACATATAACTTAAGAGTGGTATGTACTGAGCACTTCACTAGTTAAGTCATCCTTGCCATTAATAAAGTATTAGTGGAATATACTGAACATTTTACTTTCTAATGATCTTTATAAGATTTGGTAGGATTAAGTAGCTGAGGTAGCTCAAAGTCACTCTCGAATTAAGTTGACTTATATTGATTTGCTATTAACGTGCTTGCATATATATGATTTCGTGCCTAACTGTGGGTTAGTCAGATAATGAACACTAATTTTAGTAGCATTGCTGAATAGATTTGTCACTATTTTATTGCTATTAAAGGTCAAGAGATAAATGGTTAAGTTGAGTTATAAAAACTCTGAAATGAACTGATTGACAGTAGTTAAAACTGTTGGTAGAGTATATTTTAGATGCAAAATAGTATTAAGGACAAATTTGTTCTGTTAGGATTATTTTGCTTCAAGTGCATCTGAATTAACTCAAATTATATGTTTGTGATTCATGTTTAGTTCATGTTCTGCTTAGACTGCTCAAAATGATTCTTGTTCCAATTACATTTCTTTGCAAGTTTTAATCTCTTATGAGAATTCTGATAAAAAAAATAAATAAATAAAAAAAAAAAAAACTGTAAAAGAAGCTGAATTATGTATGCTATAAAGTGTTTTAGTAGTAAAATTTAACGAGTTAGTGTCCAAATATAAGCTTCTCTTGTGCTATTATAATCTCAAAATCAGAAGTAAAAGTAGTTTATAACCAATCTGGCTGAATAAGATTGGCAATCAGTTAGCTTTATATGTTGAATTTGACAATGCATGAGTATTAGTATGCCTACTCCTACATTCAGGAAGACCAGTGTGTACTAGTTTCATATCTTTTTGAGTAAAAACTGAGCAGAATATATATATGACAACTGATTTAATGGGATTGCATAATGTCTTGGTCTGCCAAGCTAGGTTCGGATAATTCTTTAGCTTGCCTGATGTTGATTTGCTATTGGAAATTTAGCTACATGAAATCTAAAATGCATGTCTAAGTAATTGATCTCATTACAGCGTATCTGTTAAAGCTATAAATCCTGCCTAGTTATTAGCTGCTAAGTTCTGACCAGAAGGTGATTATTGAACTCTACATTTCTACACTAAAATTTCAAGCTCATCTTTCCATTAATTTCTGTTTTTCTTTATAGGTGTATGTACGCGTACGATAAAGAAGCTAGACTTCAGCGCATTAAAGCATACGTAGGCTTCCTAAACGAGGCTGAACCAGAGAAGCTGCTTCACATTTTCAGTGCTGAACCGGAACTTGAAATAGAAGATCCATTACCGATTGAATACAAGAACATGGCAGAACGAACACTGAAGGAATTGGGAGCACCGAGAACAGGAGAAGACCCTCTGTGCATTGTCTTTCCAGAGCTAGAGAATCCTCTAAAGCTGAATTCAGGTTTCCTTAATCTTCTCCCTAAATTCTATGGGAACGCAGGTGAGAATCCTTATAGACACTTAAAAGAATTTAAGGTTGTATGTTCTTCCATGAATCCAGAAGGCGTAGAACAAGAACATATTAGATTGCATGCTTTTCCTTTTTCTTTCAAGATCCTGCCAAAGAGTGGCTATATGAGCAACTTTCACCTAGTTTTATTAATTCTTGGGCAGAAATGGAAAAAGTTTTTCTTGAAAGATTCTTTCCTGCGAGTCGTATTGGTTCTATTAATAAGGAAATTTGTGGAATTAGACAAAATAATAACGAATCTTTATATGAGTATTGGCAACGTTTTAACATACTTTGTTCATCTTGTCCCCAACACCAAATAAGTGAGCAATTGTTAATTCAATATTTTTATGAGGGGTTGTTACCTAATGAGAGAGGTATGATAGATGCATCAAGTGGGGGGGCATTAGTAGATAAAACTCCAACGGAAGCTAGAAAGTTAATTTCTAATATGGCTCAAAATACTCAACAATTTGGCAGTAGAAATGATGTTAAAAGAGTTAATGATGTGGACTTAAGTGGAATTAAAAATCAATTACAAGAAAATGCTCAACAAATTGCTGCTTTAACCACCTTAGTGTCTAAAATTGTTCCTGGTAATGAGTCTACAGCTAGAGTATGTGGTGTTTGTTCTGATTTTTCTCATGCTACTGATGAATGTCCTACTTTACAAAGTGAAGATGTTAATGCCTTAGGAGGTTTTCCTGGTCAATCTCAAAGGAAATATGACCCTTTTTCTAATACTTATAATGAAGGTTGGAAAGATCACCCTAACCTTAGGTATGGACCTAGACCACCATTTTCTCATTCTAATCAAACTAGGCCATTTGTTCAACAAAATTCACAACAACAATCTGGTTCATCATTAGAGGATTTAGTGAAACAATTGACTACCCAAATTGGACAAGTTCATAGTCAAGGTGTTCAATATCAAAAGAAAACTGACACTCACCTACATCACATAGATACTCAAATAGGTCAAATTAGCACTTCCCTTAGTAATTTGGAATCTCAGCTTTCGAATAGGCTTCCTTCTCAAACACTTGCCAATCCAAATGAACATGCTAAAGTTGTAACACTTAGAAGCGGTAAAGAGTTAAAGGAACCTAAAATAAAGAATAGAGAAATAGAGAAAGAGGTAGAAGTCAGACCTAAGGATGATGTAGCTGGTGAGAGTAAGGAAAAACATGATACAGAAAGTGAGAAAGAACTGGAAAAGAAGGGTAATTTTGATGTGAATTATGATGTTTCTCGTTTTAAAGATATTCCCCCTTTTCCTTATCGATTTGCTAAAGCTAAGAAGGAGGCCCTTGACAATGAAATACTTGAAACATTTAGGAAGGTTGTAGTGAATATCCCTCTTCTTGATGCTATTAAACAGATACCTAAGTATGCTAAGTTTCTAAAAGAACTTTGTACTAACAAAAGGAACTTCAAGCCTCGTGAAAAGGTAAGAATGGGTGAGAACATATCTGCTGTAATTCAAAAGAAACTTCCTCCAAAATGCAAAGATCCTGGCATGTTTTCTATCCCATGTAAAATTGGTAACACTAAATTTGAAAGATGCATGTTAGACTTAGGTGCTTCAATTAATGTCATGCCTAAATCTGTATATGATACTTTGAATGTGGGTCCTTTGTCTAAAACTAATGTTGTTATCCAATTAGCTGATAGATCTAATGCATTTCATATGGGAGTTTTGGAAGATGTACTTGTTCAAGTGAATGAACTAGTTTTTCCTGCTGATTTTTATGTGCTTGATATGGGTGATAGATTTGATAGTGTTCCTTTATTGTTGGGTCATCCTTTTCTAAAGACTTCCAAAACTAAAATTGATGTTCATGAAGGTAATTTGACAATGGAATTTGATGGCGAAATGATTAAATTCAACATATTTGATGCTATGAAATACCCTAATGATATCAGTAATGTTAGTTCTATAGATTCATTTGATGCATGTGACTGGATGGCTCAGGATGTTTTTGATGAGTGGTGTAAAAATCTGTTTGAAAATGGTGTGTTTGGTGATTTTAAGGAAACAAAAATGGTTGATTCTTTTGTAGTTTCATCTGATGTGATTGAACCTGATGCTTGTGATGGATGTGAAAAATCTTTACCTTCTATTGTGCCTAAATTGATCCCTTCTACTGTTAAGCCACCTGAATTAGAATTGAAGCCCCTTCCTTCTAATTTGAAGTATGCTTATTTGGGTGATAATGAGACTCTACCTGTGATCATTTCAAGTTCTTTAAATGAATCTCAAGAGACTAAGTTATTGAATTTGCTTAAAAATCACAAGGAAGCCTTAGGATGGACTTTAGCTGACATAAAAGGCATTAGTCCCGCCATGTGCATGCATAAAATTTTTCTTGAAAAAGATGCTAAACCAACTAGAGAGGCTCAACGTAGATCAAATCCTTCAATTATGGAAGTAGTTAAAAAGGAAATTCTAAAATGGTTAGATGCAGGAGTGATATATCCTATTTCCGATTCTCAATGGGTAAGTCCTATACATGTGGTACCTAAAAAGAGTGGAATAACAGTTGTCGAAAATAATAAAGGAGAATTTGTCCCCACTAGAGTTTCTAATGGATGGAGAGTTTGTATTGACTACAGGAAGCTTAATCAAGCTACTAGAAAAGACCATTTTCCTCTGCCATTTATTGATCAGATGTTAGAAAAACTTGCTGGACAATCTTTCTTCTGTTTTCTGGATGGTTATTCAGGTTACACACAAGTACCCATTGCCCCTGAAGATCAAGATAAAACCACTTTTACCTGTCCTTTTGGTACATTTGCTTTTAGAAGAATGCCTTTTGGTTTATGTAATGCTCCAGGAACTTTTCAGAGATGTATGATGAGCATATTTTCTGATTTAATAGAACATGATATGGAAGTTTTTATGGATGACTTTACTGTTTTTGGTGATTCATTTGATAGATGTCTTCATGCTTTAACTCGTGTTCTAAAGAGATGTGTTGAAACTAATCTTGTTTTGAATTTTGAAAAGTGTCATTTCATGGTAGAACAAGGCGTGGTTCTTGGTCATATTGTAAGCGCTAAAGGTTTAGAGGTAGACAAAGCTAAAATTGAGGTGATAAGTTCTCTGCCTTATCCTAAATGTGTTCGCGAAGTTAGATCATTTTTAGGACATGCTGGTTTTTATAGGCGTTTTATAAAGAATTTTTCAAAAATTGCTTCACCTTTATGTGCTTTGCTTGCTAAAGATGCTGTTTTTGACTTCAATGATGAATGTAAGAAAGCTTTTGATGATTTAAAAGCCAAGCTGACAAGTGCTCCTGTTATTAGACCCCCTGATTGGTCGTTACCTTTTGAAATAATGTGCGATGCTAGTGATAAAACCATAGGAGCTGTTTTAGGCCAAAAGAAGGGTAAAGAGTCTTATGTGATACATTATGCTTCTAAATCACTTGACCCTGCCCAATGCAATTACACTGTGACTGAAAAAGAAATGTATGCTGTGATATTTGCTTTGGAAAAGTTTAGAACTTATTTACTTGGTACTCATGTGATTGTTTATTCTGATCATGCGGCTCTAAAATACTTGATAAAGAAGAGTCATTCAACACCTAAGTTACTTAGGTGGATGCTTCAATTACAAGAGTTTGATCTAGAAATTAGGGATAAAAAAGGTGTTGAAAATCAAGTTGCTGACCATTTGAGTAGGATTGTCCCTAGAGAAGATTGGCCTATGATAAGTGATTTTTTCCCCGATGAAAAATTGCTTTCTTTATATCATGTTGAAACTCCTTGGTATGCCGATATGGTTAATTACTTAGTAACTAGGACGTTTCCCCCTTTTCTAACTAAGGTCCAAAGAGAAAAGATAAAGTCGGAATCTAAATACTACATATGGGATGATCCTTATTTGTGGAAATCTTGCTCTGACCAAGTAATTAGACGGTGTGTAGATAAACCTGAACATGATTCTATACTAACATTTTGCCATAGTCTTGAAAGTGGAGGACACTTTGGTCCTCAAAGGACTGCTCATAAAGTCTTAGAATGTGGTTTGTATTGGCCTACTATTTACAAGGATGCTTATTTATTTTGTAAGGCTTGTGAACGCTGCCAGAAATCTGGAAATCTGTCTAAAGAAATGAAATGCCCCAATCTGGAATTTTAATTTGTGAAATATTTGATGTGTGGGGCATTGATTTTATGGGTCCCTTTCCTGTTTCTTTTGGTAATGTTTATATCATTCTTGCTGTTGATTATGTGTCTAAATGGGTAGAGGGGAAAGCTGTAATAACCGATGATGCTAAAACGGTTGTTAAGTTTGTTAAGAGTCATATATTTAATAGATTTGGCATGCCTAAGGCCATCATTAGTGACAAAGGAACCCACTTTTGCAATAAAACATTTGGTGCCCTTCTGGAAAAATACCACGTGACTCACAGAGTAGCCACTGCATACCACCCCCAAACAACTGGACAGGTTGAATTGTCGAATAAGGAGATAAAGGGTATTTTGGAAAAAATGGTTAACCCAAGTAGAAAGGATTGGAGCCTTCATTTAGGTGATGCCTTATGGGCATATAGAACTGCATATAAAACTCCTTTAGGAATGTCTCCATTTAGACTTGTATTTGGAAAAGCGTGTCACTTACCTGTGGAAATTGAGCATAAGTCTTATTGGGCAGTGAAGCAATGTAATTTAGACTATGATCTTGCTGGGAAAGAAAGGAAATTACAGTTACTTGAGTTGGAAGAATTGAGGTTAGAGGCATATGAAAATGCCAAAATCTATAAAGACAAGACCAAAGCCTTCCATGATAAAAATATAGATAGAAAATCATTTCAGGTTGGCCAGAAAGTCCTTTTATTTAATGCTCGATTGAAATTATTTCCAGGAAAATTACAAACTAGATGGCTTGGCCCCTTTGTTGTTACTAATGTTTTTCCTCATGGTGCAATAGAAATCAAAGATTTCAATACTAACAAAATTTTCAAGGTTAATGGCCACAGGTTAAAACCATTCTATGATCAAGCTTATGTGACCATGATTGAACACATTTTTTTTTGAACAAGCATGAAGAGAGAAATGTCGAGCCAACGACGTAAACAAAAGGCGATGATTGGGAGGCAACCCAAGATTAATTATTTCTTTCCTTACAGTTCTATTTATTTATTTATTTTACTCATTTTATTTTATTTTTCAGCATTCACTCCCTACATATTTACGCTAAATTGTGCTTATAACTGAGTTGCAATTGCTGCACTAATTCACTCCTGTCTCACAGAATATTTTAGTTACAATAGTATATATTTTAACAACTGAAATTCACTATACACTGAGTTTTGCTAGTCGGTTTGCAAGAGCTTAGCTAGTTTAGTTGTGGCTTAGAATATCTCATTTGGTGTCAATGTTCTGTCCAGAATTGCAACCTTTCTTATCATCACAATCTTATTATAAAGTGCACTGACATTCTGCCTTAATTATGCCTTTCCAGGAATTTGCTTCTTCTTGTGCTGTGTACCAGATTCACAAAATGGTAGATTCCTGCTGCAACTTTGGACATATTCATAAATCTTCGATACTTTAAAATCTGTTGCTCAATGAATAGAGCAGAAGCACAACAATAAAGAAAATAAAGGCAGACCAACCTGAGTCATCAAAACAGAGAACAGAACCAGCTAAGTTTCTTCTCCTTTTTCTTCATTTCTTTTTCATCGAGGACAATGAAAAGTTTAAGTGGGGGGCCACTGTTGTTTTCTATATTTTGGATGTTGGGATGTTAGTTTGGGTTACAATTTTAGCAACAAAAAGTTGTTTGACTATGACCATTTTTAGGGGAGATGCTGCCGATTTTTTTTAAATATTGGAAATTTTGAGCTAATAGCAGTAATATACAAAAAAAAATGTTTTTATTCTCCGGTATTCTTGATAACCTATCCTTTAAGCTTTTGTCATTTCCCTCTGAAACTGCAACTAATTCATGTTTTGAAAATGATTTAGGCATTTAAAACAGTTTCTACGCCACATCAACCAAAAAGCCTATCCCTGTTATTTTCCATGAATAAATCACAAATGTACCTCTACTTACACATCAAATGGTTAACCTTTTTGAAATTAGTAGAGCATATTAAAGTGTGATGTAAAAATGGTTGTTGATATTCAGTGGTGATACATACAGTACTATAAAGTGAAAGTTTCAATATAAGGCTCTTCGTACCAATGATTGGGTATATGTGTTAATCAATTCACATATAGTGAATTACAAAAAAAAAAAAAAAAAATATTTCAAACCCAGTTATGTACGTGTGATGTTTCTATCTCTTGCTTGTGTAGTTTGAGTAAGTAGATCCTTAGGGGAATCTTAAAGCCTAGTGCCTTGGACCAACTGGACCGGGAGCCACTGGTCGAACACTCGTTACGTGGACTACTCAACAGAGATTGAACATTAAGAGTCTTAAAAAAAAAAAAAAAAAAAAAAAAAGTAGAAAAAAAAAGAAGAAGGGGGCAGTGTACATAAAAGTTCAATGTGCACTCAAGAAATATTTGTTATGAGGAATATTTGATTTGGTTGTAATCATACTATGCTCTACTAATTTATAGAATATTACCACCACAATCCCATAATTATTGCCATATCCTTCATTTACCTAAACCCCCATGATAACCTTAAAATTAAAAGTCCTAATGATTTGAGACATGTAAATTGGTATAAGCAAGGAGGGTGAAAAATGATAAAAGTTAACCAACCAAGTTGTCAAGTTATATTGGAGAAACTTTTATGAATTGTGTTTTAAAATTGTTTATTGCTATTTAGTTGAAAATTTCTGAATAACAGACTTTGTGGGTATGTCTACTGCAAACCCTCACGAGACCGTACTCGTCCTCTAGGGGGAACTTAGGGGTTTAAAGGGCTTGTTGCACGTGCTAAGTGTAACCGTGATTCCTACGACAGTGAGTTAGGTTTATTGCTTTTATTGGTTAGTTTTATTTAGTTTGTTCGTGGGCGACCAAAGACTAAGTTTGGGGGAATTTGATAAATGCATAATATACTATAATTTTAGTCCCTAATATTAGTCCAATGGCCACTTTATATTGGTTATTTTATGATTTTATTTACTTTTATTATTTTAGATTTTATTTTATTCATTATTTTATTTTATAGTTATTTTTATAATAATTGATACTTAATTTTATGTTGTGTGTTTTTGGTAGGAAGAAAAATATTCGCAAGCACTACGAGCCCAATAGCAAAGCAGACTAGCAAATATAAAAAAAAGGGGAAGAAGAAAAAGGCACGTGACTTAGCAACATTAAACAATAAGAAAGAAAAGATAAGAAAGCAGCAACAAATAAAGTAAAGAAAGGAGCGTGAAAACCAAAGATACCCCAAAATCTTATTAAGGTTCATCTTCAACAATATCATCCGAAATTCAAGCAAATAGAAGATGAATTTCCATCTTAAATTTTATCTTTCCAACCTAGAAAATCATGGGAGGCCGTTGTTTTTGGCTATAAAAACCCCAAAACAATCATCTCAGAGGACACACAACTTAGCCAATAATTATACAAAGAGTACGAGAGTTCGAGTGAGTCCGTAATTGGGCAATTGGTGAAGAGAAGATAGCCATTGGAGGGCAGCTTAGTCTCGAATCCAAGGTAGAACAAGAACGAAGGTGAATCGCGGGGTCGAAGCCGGGTTTATTCGGGTGTTCTTCAGAGTATATTTTATAAGTCTTCTTCTGAACTTATTTGTTCAATACTACTGATTTATTTGATGTTCTTTGCTAAATTGATGAAGTACTTTTATTGGATTATTGATATTATAATTGATTCTTGATAGTATTATTTTTTCGATTTAATGGGTATTTGAAATTTGCTCGTTCTTGATTATTAAATTTGCAATTTGACATTGATTGTTATCTATCATGTTATTAGTTGTGAATTATTGCTATCTATATGATTTGGCTTAGTTTGAATTATATAGTGAAGTAGTATCTAATTTTTATCAAGTCTGCGATTATGGTTTGGTTTAAATCAGAGGGCATTTTCAATCTAATTATTCTAAGCATTTATGTGATTAGTTTAATTAGGACTAATGAGGTCTCCTAGTTGTTAATGCTTCCGTATCTAACTCATGCAAGTTGCGAAATATTTGTGTTACTTATATCCGTTTAGAGTCAATTTCGGCTTAGTCCAAATTTGGTTTCAAGTAAGGGAGATAGGGAGTCTTTGTTACTATAGTCTCTACGATTAGTCTAATCGTTAAATTGAGTATTTTGCAGAGTCGGTCAATTGTTGTTATCAATAGTTTAGTATGAGTAGTGCCGAAGTGGAATTGGTTAGTTGTGTCGTCAATAGTAGTTTATTAGTTTAGTTCCGTATTAGTTTTTTTAGTTTAGTATTATCTTAAACAAACCCCCCCCATTCTATGTACATATGTGAATAAATGTATAGTATGTAAGTTTCCGTAATATATCTAGTTAAACCTTGATTAAAGAGTTAAAAGTTTCCGTAATATACGGTAAACGACACGTACCACTTTTTTCGGGACGCTAGGTAGGTGTAATGATATAAATGTTCTTGACATGTCTCCATTATTTAATGATATATTCGAAGGTCGTGCACCTTCGGTTAACTATATTGTTAATGGCCACCAATACAATATGGGATATTATCTCACTGATGGTATATATCCTACATGGGCGGCATTCATTCCCACAATATCCCTCCCTCAAAATGAAAAAGAGGGTCTTTTCGCCAAAAAGCAAGAAGGTCAGCGAAAGGATGTCGAACGTGCATTTGGAGTACTACAAGCTCGTTTTGCCATTGTGCGGCATCCTGCTGTGGCTCGTGATGTATCAATGCTTGGAAAAATTATGATAGCTTGTATCATCTTTACACAACATGATCGTCGAGGATGAGCGAGATACATACGCAAGATATTATGATCCAAGGTATGATGATCCAAATGAATATGAGCAAGCTGAACCCCCGTCTTCAAGTAGAAGAAACTCTCAAGGACCATTTCAATTTAGCAACAGTAGTAACCGACCGCTAATTTGGAGACTTACATGGCTAATAGAGCTCGAGTTCGTGATGAAGTTACCCATAGAGCCTTGAAGTCAGATTTAGTGGAACATTTATGGCTTAGATATGGGGAGTCTTATAATAGGCAGTAATGACATATTATTAGGCCTTTAAAAGTATTTTATTTAAGTAATTATGCTTAGTGTATGTTTTAGCTAATGCTAAATAATGTGTTCTAATCATGCATGTGTTATCGTACTATCGTGTATTATTATTACTTAACGAGCTTTTAAATTAAGTGTCCATGTATTTTACATTTGCGCTTCAATAATACATCATTGATTACAATTATTGTATAATTATATTTATCATTAAGCATTTTAAATTTTAATTATGTGCAACAATTATAGGAATTATTATGTTTTTAACAACAATTTTAATTATATGGTGGGATAGAAGAGAGAGAATATATGGTGGGGTATAGTAAAAGTAGGAGAGAGAAAATCATGACCAAAGTAATGTTGGGCAATCATTGGGAGTCTTTGGTCATGTGAGTTGGTCATAGATAAGTGGAAAGAGAAAGAAATTATATAATAATCCATGACCAAATATTTTGGGTCATCCATTGGGTATGCTCTTACTAGGGGTGTACATCGGTCCAAAACCGGACCGGACCTGGACCGGACCTGTTTGGACCGGGGACCTGAATTAGGTAATTTTAAGGACCGGGGACCGGACCTGATTTAACAGGTCCGGTTCCGAGCCAGACCTGAAAAATCAGGTCCGGTCCGGGTTTAGACCTGAATGGACCTATTTTGTATATATATATTGATTATCGAGAGTAACTCAAAACTAAAAAATATAATCTGTACACAGAACTTACATTTCAATTATGTACAAATGAAGACTAGTGCCTTTAGTGGTATACTAATATTCAACCACAAAAGCCCACTAATATTTCACTTATGCACTCTTAATTTCATCATATTCCGAGAACTAAGAATACAAAAGGCAAAACACGATCCACAGGCAAAACACGATCCACACAAGTGGTCTGAATTTGCAGACAAGTCGAGAATTCACGACTTTAAAAAGAAGATCAGAATATCGAATACACAAATTAACAAAAAAAAATAGATCTAATATACAAATTGAACAAAAACATATCTATAATAAAAATTGAATAATACAAATTCAAAAACAGAAAAATTAAAATCCGAAAAAAAAAATTCTGGAAATTGACGAATGAATGAATAAGAAATCAAAATCTGGAAATTGACGAACGAATGAACAAAAAATAAAAATCTGAAATTAAAAAATAAAAACCACCCATCACAATGGTTTTCTTGGGTCCGAGATGAAGGAGAAGGAGAGGTTGTTGCGGTGGTTTTCTTGCGATGCTAAATGGTGGTAACAGGCTAACGGCTACTGTGGTTGACGCCAAATTGCCGGAAGTTGCAATAATGGCTGCTGGTCTACTCCGGTGGTTTTCTTGTGGTGGTTGTCGGTGTTGGGAAAGGAGAGGAGATTAGATCTAGGGTTTGAGAAGAGAGAGGAGAGGAGAGAATTTGAGATACAACCATCAGAAACTCTGATATAGGATATTAGTTATAGGGTTTTGCTGAGTTGCTATTTTATATATATATATATAAAAAAATTATTAATTCAGGGTTTCAGGTCCAGACCGGGGTTTTCCGGGTTTTACCCGGACCGGACCGGAAAACCGGAATCGCTTATTTTCAAGGACCGGGACCGGACCTGAATCAGCAGGTCCGGTCCAGGTTCGGTCCGATTCAGGTCGGTTCAGGTCGGGTTTCAGGTCCGGTCTATTTTTTGTACACCCCTAGCTCTTAGAGGCTTGACCAACCAATAAGCTATTTTTTTGTGTTTGGTGGGGGAGCGGAATAAGCGGATAGGAATTAGTGGATTTGCCTCAATCCGCTGATTTCCCAAAATTTACTTCAATAAGCCCAAATTTGAGGAAGAAGCAATACATTTTCGATTTTCCCGCCTTCAACGTTCACCAACAAACAATGGAGAAATTGAAACCTTTCTCTCCATTTCGACTCTCTGCTCTTCTTCGACAACAAAAAGACCCAAAACTTGCCCTCAATCTCTTCCTAAACCCTAATTCTAACAATAAACCCTACCCATATTCCCTCCTTTCCTATGATCTCATCATTACCAAACTTGGCCGAGCAAAAATGTTCGATGAATTGGAACTAATCCTGTCAAAATTGAAGCTTGAAACTCGTTTTACACCTACAGAAATCATTTTCTGCAATGTAATTACTTATTATGCTCAAGCTCGATTGCCCGAAAGAGCACTCCATGTGTTCGATGAAATTCCCTCGTTTCGATGTCCAAGAACGGTGAAATCCTTGAATACTCTGTTAAATGGATTATTAATTTGTCGGGAATTTGATAAATTGGAAAGGGTTTTTGTGGGTATTGATTGGTTTGCTTCCCCAGATGTTTGTAGTTATAATATCATGATTAATTCTTATAGGGTGCGGAATGATATGGAGAGTGCATGGAAGATGTTTGATGAAATGCGTGAGAGAAGGGTTCGGCCTAATGAGGTGACTTTTTCTACGTTGATTACGGGGCTTTGTGCGAGTTTGAAGGTGAAGGAGGCGCTTAGGTTGAAGAAAGATATGACCCGGGTTTACAATGTTGAACCTACATTTTATGTTTATGCTTCATTGATCAAGGGGTTTTGTGAGATTAAAGAGTTGAATTTGGCATTTAAACTTAAGGATGAGATGCTAGAAAAGAACGTTGAAGTGGATTCGGCTATTTATACTACTTTGATTAGTGGTCTTTTTAAGGTTGGGCGAAAGGATGAGGTTGTTGTTGTGTTGGAGGAGATGAAAAGAATTGGGTGTTTGCCTAACACCGTGACTTATAATGCTCTCATTAGTGGATATTGTGCCGAGAAGCGTTTTGACTTAGCATTGGAGGTTTTAAATGAGATGGAAGGGAAAACATGTAAACCTGATGTCATTAGTTATAATGTGTTGATCAAAGCCTATTTCAACGAGGGAAAAATAAGAGAAGCCACTGATTTATTTGAAGATATGCCTAGGCGAGGATGTAAACCTGATGTTGTGTCTTATCGGATAGTTGTTCAGGGGCTTCTTTCTGGGATGAAACTGAAGGAAGTGGCATTTATTTTGGATGAAATGGTGTTCAAGGGTTATGCCCCTCATCTTTTGACTGTTAACAAATTTATGAACCTTCTGTGTGAAGAAGGGGATTTGGAATTGTTGTTTGAAGTAGTAAATATTCTAGCCAAAGGAAATTATATTGACACCAATTCTTGGACATTAGCTGTTTCAGCCATTTCCTCGAATTATGAGCTATTGGATTTCCATGATGTTTCAATGCTTTAGCTAATCCATATACTGCGACTCCTTGAGCTTCCTTCGATAATTCTTGTGTCACTGTATAACTTTATTACTTTATATAACATTTGGGCTGCATTGCTTGATGGCTAATCACATGTATTTGGGTCTGAATAATTTAACTTATTTTGGCATTTCACGTGTTTCGCCATCTTTTTCCATTCATGATTTTCACCCCCCCCCCTTCCTCCATTGTTCTCCTACCTGCTGATAGTTCCTTAAATGTTTAACTACCTTTTTATAATCTTCTTTGATAAAACTATTTCCCATTTTCTAATTGTTTATTTATTTTTTACCTTTTAGAATTTCCCCTCTGCTATTTTTAAGTGCTCAGGAACAACTGTTTCAAGGAGGATTGATGATTACTGTTTAACAATAGAATGTGAAGAAGATTGAATAATGATAGACATACATTTTGTACTACACTGCTGATGTTTTTAAACTTTATTAGAAGTTTATATAATGCACTGTTTACAATCAAGTAACATCACTATAGTTTGCGGATTATCTTAGTGCTGATGTGCTTTGCGACTCTTTGCTGTTAATTCTGTGTCGGTGCCTGAGGGCTGTCTTCTGACTTTGTTTAACTGCTCAGTTGTTTTCCCGATTGTTTCAGCGGTGGCTTATGCTATTAGTTTTAAACTTTAACATCCAAGGTAATCATGCTAGTATAATAAAATAAGCAAGGAATGCAGGATACGATAATTCTACTTTATGAAGGGGCTGTCCCTTACAATTGTGGATACTTCGTATAATACTTTGATCTGTCTTGAATTCTGTTTACTCTAATAATGTTATTTTGCAGGTGCTTTTTGCAGTTTATTCATTCATTTGCATTTTTCTTTTGTATCAATGATCAAGGGTAATGCACTGTGTATGCCGGCAGAGTTGAGGAAGCAGCTCAGTACTATGTGAGTGTTTATTAAGTGTCCTTTTATCTGCATTGATAGCTTTTTAATTTTGAGTTTCTCTGAAGCCTGATCATTGTCAAGTATAACAAATCTTGCAAAACATGTATGTGTTATGGTATGTGGCTACATTGTAAACCTATTTCAGATTCTTCTATGGGTGGCAAAATCTCTTTGATTTACTTAAATTTTATTAAGAATTCCTACGTATGGTTTCTGAAACAAAAGCTGGGAATGCACCACACATAGACATAATGCTACTATAAAACTCTCTGTGCCTAATCACTTTAATATGCAACAAATACAAGTAGCTAACAGTGTCATTGTGCTGCTTTTCAAGGAGCTTCTATCGTGATGTATGTAGTGGTGTTACTTTCCATTGTAGTATTGCCTTAATGTTTTGGGAAAGAGGAGGTAGAAGAGGAATGCAAGAAAGGAAATGAAAAGGAACCTCCAAGTGCAGAGCTCAACCATCAAACTTAAGGTATAAATTTCTTACATTTTCGATCATTGTTAGTGCTTCATTGGATAAGGTTTAAACCTCAAAATTGTTAATGCTTCAAGAGGGGGCAAAAACCATCCACTCAACACAACATCATTTCTCATTAACATTTTCAAATTACAGAAAAACACAATACAATCAACCACCAAGAATCAATATTCACTCATCATCACATCACCATACCCCAAGCTAGCCAAAATCCAACCCCACACAAATGGAAGGAAAATAGGAAAAAACCTACCCCTAGTCACCACAACGACTCTCAACCCATACAAATCATGCACCTAAGCCCATAAATATACAAAAAAAAAAAACCCTCCTAAGATAGAATAGAGCACCGTCCTTGGTGTGAAGCAAAACAATCAAGAAAGGGTAAGGGCAAAGAGTGGCCCTAGTTAACCTGGGGGGTGGGTTAGTTTTCGACCCACTGGTATAACCGGGTGGCAAACCATAATGGTCTATCAATGCTATAACTACTAGATAGGGAAGATTTTGGGAGAGGATAACCCCAAGAAAAGCTATGAGAAAGTGAGCATGAGTGAGCCTCCATTTGAAAGTAAGTTTGTCCATGACACTAGGAAAAACCATAAAGAAGAGAGAGCTTATGAAAATGAAAAAGAAAAAGAGAATGAGAAAGAGAAAGGGAAAGAAACTACACAATTGCAAAGACTTCCATATCCCCATAAGTTTGTGAGAAACAAAATTGATATGCAATTAGGAAAATTTCTTCATATGTTTAAGCAACTTCACCTTTCGATTCTCTTGACCATATCTATTAAACTAATGACCAACTATGCTAGATTTTTTAAAGATTTTTTGAGCGGTGAAGGAAGTGTGATTTAGTTGAAACGGTGAATCTCACCGGAAATTGTAGTGCTATAGTTATGAACCAAATGCCACCAAAATTGAAAGATCCAAGTAACTTTTCGATCCCTTGTGCTATTTATGAAATGCAAATTGATAACGTCTTGTGTAATCTAGGGGCTAATGTTAGCCTTGTGCATATTCCGTTTATCAAAGACTTGAAATAAGGGAATTTTTACCTACTAATATTACCATTCAATTGGCTGATAGATCGATAAAATTTCCAAAGGGTAAGATTGAGGATGTTCCTTTAAAGGTGGGAAAGTTTGCCATTCCGATGGATTTTGTTGTTGTAGAGATGGATGAACATGCTAACAAGTTTATAATTCTCGTTAGGCCTTTTCTGGCTACTTCGGGTGCTTTAATTGATGTGAAAAGTGTCAAAATAACACTCAAAGTAGGTAATGAGGTCATAAAATTTGATTTGAATGAAAGCTTGAAATATCCATATTCAACTTTGGAAAATTGCATGAAGATTGATTCTATAAATCATATTGTGTATTCTATGCATGAGCACTTGCTCACTTCCAATTATGCCCTTGAGAATGTCTTATTGAACAAGGAAAAAATAGGTGATCAAAGCAAGGAAATGACATTGTATGAACAAATGCTTATAAGAAAAATAGAGGGAAGCAATGAGCAAGTTTACATGAGAATCACAAGCCAAGATGCATTGGAAGTGGCAAAAACAATAGAAGGTAAGGGTGCTTCAATGGTAAAGCTCAAACCTCTACCATCACACTTAAGGTATGTGAATTCTTCTTTGAATGAAGCCAAACTCAAATGTTATGTGGTGTCTTAAGAAACCACCAAGGTGCTTTAGGTTATACCATCGATAACCTCAAAGGTATAAATCGCGCTTCATGTATGCACCACATAACACTTAAGGAGAGTGCTAAACCTTCTATTAAAAGGCAAAGGAAACTCAATCTTCAAATGGGGAAGGTGGTGAAGAAAGAAATCACCAACCCCTTGATGCGGGCATCATCTCCCCATTTAGAGTTCTAAATGAGTTTCTCTTATCATGTGATCCTTAAAATGGAGGGAATAACCGTAGTTGAGAATGTAGTCCCTAAAATAGATACAAAGTGTGTTGAAACCATGTCATTCGGATCTTTGTGGATCCCGTATGTGAACCAACAAGACAGCTTTGAAAATCTTGCAAAGTGGTTTGTGGTGGCCTCATACCTTTAGAGATGCATGGGGATTTGTCAAATCTTGTGATTGTTGTCAAAGAACAGAAAATGCTTCAAGAAGAAATGAGATGTCCCAAAGTCCTATTCTTGAGCTAGAAGTTTTTGATGTTTGGGGAATTGATTTCATTGGGCCTTTAAGACCCCAATCGGTACGACTTCCTATTGCCTTGTTTATGGTAAGTCTTGCCATCTCCCGGTATAGCTTGAGCATCGTACTCAGGGGGTGTTTGTTTCACATAATTAAGGTATAAGGTATGGGTTTAGAATGATTTAAACTCATACCTTGTGTTTATTTTATGATTTTATGAGTTTCAAACCCATACCTCAAACCCCCAAGGTATGGGGTTTAGAAACCTTTGGGGAAAAGGTGGGTTTGGCTCATTCCCATACATTTAGGCATTAAATAAAAGAAAAAAAAATTGCATTTTATAGTCATACCAAACATATGGTATTAAGAGTCAAGTTCCAAACCCATTCCACTATGGTTTCATTCCTGATTCCAACCCCATACCAGTTTGCGAACCAAACGCCCCCTCAATGCGCTATAAAGTAGATTAATTTTAACTTGGCTAGTGCGGGTGAGCAACGGTTGCTTGACTTACATGAACCTTAGGAGCTTTGTTTAGATGCTTATAATTGTGCTAGCACCTACAAGATTCGTTCAAAATAATGGCATGACAAAAGAATTGAAAAAAAAAAACATTTCTTGTGGGCAAAAAGGTACTACTCTACAACTCCTGGGCATTGTTAGAAGTAAGCAAGTGCTCATGCATAAAATTCACAATATGATCTATAGAATCTATCATCATGCAGTTTTCCAAAGTTGAACATGGATATTTCATGGTTTCATTTAAATTAAACTCTATGACCTCATCTCCTACTTTGAGTGTTATCTTGGTACTTTTTACATCAATTAAAGCACCTAGAGTAGCAAGAAAAGGCCTACCAAGAATTGTAGTAATGTAAGCATCTTCATCCATTTCTAGAACTACAAAATCAACCCGAATGACAAACTTTCCCACCCTTAAAGGAACATTCTCAATCTTAACCTTTGGAAATTTTATCGGCCAATGGAAGGGTAATATTAGTAGGTAAAAGCTCCCCTATTTTAAGTATTTGATAAACGAAATATGACATAAGACTAACATTAGTCTCTATATCACACAAGGCGTTATCAATTTGCATTTTATAAATAGTACAAGAGATAGAAAAATTACCCAAATAGTTCAATTTTGGTGACATTTTGTTCATGATTATAGCACTACAATTTTTAATGAAATTCACCATTTCAACTAAATCACACTTCCTTCTTCCACTCAAATATCTTTGAGAAATCTAGCATAGTTGAACATTTGTTTAATAGCATCGGTGAAGGGAATCGAAAGATGAAGTGTTTTAACATCTCAAGAAATTTTTCAAATTGCACATCAATTTTGTTTCTCACAAACTTATGTGGATATGAAAGTTTTTGCAATTGTATGGTTTCTTTCCCTTTCTCTTTCTCATTCTCTTTTTTTGTCTCATTTTCATAAGGTCTCTCTTCTTCATGGTATTCCCCAATGTCATGGACAAACTCACTTTCAAATGGAGGCTCACTCATGTTCACTTTCTCATGGCTTTTTTGGGGATAGTCTCTTCCAAAGCCTTCCCACTTCTAGTTGATA